CTGCTGAAACTGCAATGGGGCTGCCAACTAATTCAGATAAACTACTGCAGCCACCAGCTGATAATGACTTCCAGTTGCTCTTGACCTTGGCCATAGTTATAGCTGTGACCTAGAAGAAATGAAAGGCTCTGTGTCTCATTACCAACCTCCCTGAACTGTCGAGGCCCATTATCTTATAGAGAAGTTTCTCCTGCAAATAATCTTCAGACATGCCTTCATGCAGAAGGAAAAAAAAAAAAACACTTTGCTGTTTTCAGATGTTAGAAGTGTCTCCACAAGAGCTCTTGTGGTTTTTTAAATATTAGTGTAAAGAGGAATTTATATATTTCTCTTGGAAAGTTCTTCTCTGGGATGCACGCAACTCTTACCCCTCAAAGTCCTGAACTCATTTCCATTGAAATCTGTAAAAGCAGCAGGCTTTGACCTTAGGTCAGTGTAAGCTTGAGATGATAAATTAATAGGCCTTTATATATAGCTAAGTCAGCTAGAAGTTTTCCAGAGTGGTAACTGTGTCCCTGTTCTTAAAAGACACTCTTGTCTCCTAATAACCAGACTTTCTAAAAGAAAGCGCCAGCAATGCTTCTCTCATAAAATCACATCCCCTGGATATTTCTGTGAGAAGAAAGACTGCCAGCCCTCTTCAGAGAGGCTGGAGTGTTTTTCATAGCACCCTCTTTGTTCTGAAGCTGTTTCTTTTCTTCTTGTACTAGCTATCCTATTAAAGCTTCTACTATTCCGATTTTGGCTTTCCAATAGCTTAGCTGACCCTCATGCCCAGCTATAGACACAAGGAAATCCAGATGCCACCTTCCTCCAAGGCCCCAGAGCAGGTGGGGTGGCCATGGCACAATCACGTCTGTCCTGATTTTAGGCAGTGCCACTCCATCAATCTCTTACAGAAGGACAGGAGGAGCTAGCAAGGTGCTTGGGAATTGTTGGAGATCCACCTCCTAGCAGGGACATGACAGCCCTTTGTACTTGGAGCAGTTAGTCCCTTCTTGCCAGTTGAAGTATCCTACCTGCTCGCCTCACAGAGCAAAATGGAGCATGATGAAAAGGCCTCTGCCCATTTGGTTTAGTCCTGTCCTTGGCAGCATCCCTCTGAAATACAGTCTTGTGTGTGCCTGTGTTTAACTACTGCTGTGGGGAAGGGCAGATGCTGGAGGTGAAAAACAGTGTTTGTGAAAGGCAGATGTAACCATCACCCTCAGCCAGAGCACGAGAGGCTTTTGACTTTGCTCTTTGTTGTTTATGTTAATATTTAAAAAGGGCGTAGTATTTTAACAGTATTTCACAGCTCCCAAAGTCAATCCATTTAATCTTTCCTATTTAAAAAAAAACCAAACAAACCAACAGGAAAACACTTTCTTTTCAAAAAAGTGTTTTTAAATAGCTGCTCTTTCTTACTGATTTTTTTTTGTGTTATATTTATCTTTGTCTTCATACTTCTCTTTTGAATGTGGGGCATTTTTAGTTAGAGGAGTTTCTGTATGATTGTTGCTCAGCACCTAGAGCACTTCTGTGTGTTTTTAATCAACTGCAATTTGACAAGTAGCTTTTTTGCTTTTTTTTTTCCCCTCCTCTCACAAACTGGGCAAGAAGGTGCAACCTGGATTACTATTAAAATACTGACAGGGCCTGTTTGGCACAGAGGGGAAAAGCCTGGATGTGGTTCACCAAGAGTAATCTGAAATTTCTTTCAACAGATGCATTAAATGTATAGCCCCAGGATACTTTCAAACCATCTAATCACTCCCACGTCTGTCTATCTCAAACACTTGCGTACGTGAACAAAGTACATTGAAACCACTCAGCCCATGTACACCAGTTGCTCCTCTGGGTGATTTCTGCTTTACCAAAGATTCACAGACTGGTTACTTAGAATTAGCTCCAGTTTTGTGAAGCATAATTAATAAAACTAATAATCATAAATACTCTTTTTTAAAGCAGCTTAATCCATGCATCTCCTCCCAAAATCTCCACAGGGAGCTAAAACAGTGTCAGGATTTCCTTCTTTTTAGGAGAGAAAGCATATTTCAGTGGCTGATCTTATTGGGGCCACAGAAAAAGTCTGTGTTTCATGGGGTAAGAACTGAGATGATCAATCCTGTGTCCATCTGTCCATCACACCACTTACTTAATAATTCATTTTTAACTTCTGCATCAAGTTCAAGAGTACCCATTTTCCAGACTGATTGTTACAGATCCTCCTGCCCAGAAGCACCATAGAAACTGTAAGAAACAAGTCCGAACAAATAAACCCAACTTTTCAAGGTCAGACGTTTAAACGGGCTCCAGGCAAGCATGATACGCAAACATTATTGAAAGACATTTTGGTTTTTCATTATACAGCAGTTAAAGATCGGAAGGTGTCTCCTCATTCTTTCTGCAGTCCCCAACTTCATGAAGGATAACCCAAGGGAGAGAGCACTCCATTCTCTGCAGCTTTCTGATAGTAACTGTGGTTATAACACAAGGTTAACACACAGAGACCACAAAACGATTTCAGACAGGGCTGTGTTAATCCATATTCTGTAAAATGAGAACTCTTCCAATTGCTTGGCATTTGCCACTTAATTCTTTTTTTTTTTTTTCATTCCTGTAGGACAAAACTTTGTTCCATCCGGTAAGCAGCAGCTGCATAGATTGCAACCCAGCCGAGAAGAAGATTTTCATGAACAGATGTGACCCTTTATCTGAAACTCAACAGTGGATTTTTGAACATATTAATATGACTGTTTTAGAAAAATTTAACAACAAGGCCAGTTCTTAGAAAGAAAAGAAAAAAAATGAACACACCTAATTACGTATAGACTGCAGACTACATTTTCGCCAGCATCTGGGTCAAAGGAGTCAGGAATTAAATTTCCTAGATCCAGGAAATCTGTTCTGAGGATTAAAAAAATGCCACAGCAAGAGCCAGCAGGCTGTCCTTGTGGATGTACAGTATCTGAAGAACTTGGCCCAGAGCCTCACCGGATGCTGCTGAGAACTTCAGGCTCAAAATTCCCTTGCTGGCCGAGGGAAAATCTTTCTTTAAAAACTGTTTAAAAGTACTCCAAATTAATAAAGTAAAACAAAACTCTAGAATTTCTCAGGTCAAATCCTGCTATAGTGAGTAGCTCGGAACAGATGCTATAATTTGGGATGGGTATATAGTGTGCATGATGGCTACAGGAACCTGAAGAAATCCCAGGTTTTAGAACTGAACATGCTGGAAGCAGAATAACGCTGTCCCAGCACTCCCTAGACAAGATATATGCTCTGTTAACATTCTCTTAATAAAAGGTTGGGTTAAATGGGTTTAACCCTCAGAACTGCTGCAATTAATTTTTAAATACCTCCCTTTTACATTCCATTCATTAACAAAATAGGTATGGTAGAAATCTTTAGGGTCTAGAATTACACTGTAGTGGAGCATGAAATAAATGGTAAAGTTTTGCTCTCATGTTTCCCCCCTTCAGGAAGAAAAAGTAAAACAATCAAATTTCTATATATTATATAGTATATATTTAGCAATTGTGATTCAAATCCCATTGTCACACAAGGTGAGATTTTTTTTAGTGACAAGTATAACGGCAGCAGCAGAAGCATGATGGAAGGCTTGTGGACTAGCTATCTTTTCTAAAGGTAGAATCCTTACCAAAGTATAAATTACATTGAGAATAGGCTGGGGGGGGAAATATCAGGAGAGTAGGAAATAATTGCATACTGCATGCTGAAGTAGGTTAGTCAGATTAACATTAGTACACTGCCATCACGTAAAAGTGTGTTGACTCCCTGCAGTGCAGCTTAAGAGATCTTGCAGTGCTCTTGACAGATAGGAGTGGAGAGAATAATTGACATGAAACTAGTTGGGTGGTTTCAGAGTTTTTGAAATCCGTGATGGAAATCGCGTGAACTTTCCAGAGTTAGCAAGTGAATAGTATTGTAGATCTCATGACAGGGGAAGCAAACAAGTTGAATGTTACAGTATTTCAGTACTTAGGCATAGGCAGGATTCAGGATGAGACAGATTTCTGTCACCATGATGATCATTTTGGCTTGTGGTGTCTCTGGTGGCATGAGAGGCCTCTAAAACTTCTTTGAGGGGCCTGCGGTCCTTCCCGGCAGAAGTCAGTTAATACCAATAAATGGAACGTGATAAATTTGGGATTTTTCAAGATAAGAGCAAGTAAAAATTCATATCAAGTAAGTACATGGCCTGCTTCTATTTGAAAGATGAATTTACAAATGAAAGCACCGTAAATGCAGATAGATCACGTCCTCTAAGAGGTGCCTGTAACAGTGCTTTCAGGTTCCAAAAATATCACATGTAATTAAGTTGCTTATTCTGATTGCTGAAGAGGTGGCTGACTAACCAAAATACTCATGTGCAGTCTACCCTGTTTTGAAGGAATAAGGTGACTGTGTGTTGTTTATTGGCCCTTAAGCTGAGTTTATGCTCAAAGAGCATTGATTGCATCCAGAGTATGGTTCTAGTCCCAAATAGCTATGTGCTATTTTATGGCAGCATCTTGTAGTTGTAGATTAAGACCCAAAATTGTAGGTCATAGGAACTTTATAGGAGGAGAATAAGATCCTGTAGCATTCAGGATATGTGCACTTAGAAAAACGTGAAATGCATCCATACAGTGAGCAACTGCTGCAAGATAGTGAACAGATTTTCTTCAAATAATCTGAAAGAAATACATCTATAGACTCCTCATTTTATGATTTTTAAAATATTTGAGCGTTTTTAGGTATGGTTTCAATTTAATTTGAAGATATAGTGCACTCAGGAACAGAAGTAGTAAGGCTACTGTGTGAGGATACTTCAGATTTGTTCAGCCTTCAGTACACAGAACAGACTGGCCACTGCAGGCTGTCAGCCTTCCCAGGTGCAGCGCTCGCAGCAGCATTTGTTTGCAGCCTGAACATGAGGAAAAGAGGGTTTCGAAAAAGGACAAAATGGCTGCCTAAAATGTAAATGCAGCCCTCAAGCTGCTGAATGTTAACTGGCCCCAAACTGTCAAAGTCCTGGAAGCAGCGCTGTATGCCCAAAATAGAGAGGCAAAGGAGAATTGCTAAACCAGCTAAGAAGTGTATGTTATGCACAGATTGGTAGGGTTATATCACTCAGTGTCTGACTGCATCTCAGTTGCCTGATTTTGAAATGTCTAATGGGAACTAGGCTGCTGTTGGGGCAAAGAACGTCTATGCCTTTTACAACTCTCGTTAAGTAATATTGCACAGCATCCTGCACTGCCACAGGAAACCTTCCCCTTATTCATAGCCAGGCACTAACTGTAAGCTCTAGAAGTCCTTGTCAGAAAACAATTCACATAACTAATATTCAGAAGTTCTGGGGAAAGAAAAAATGTGTTATCTACATAATGTTTTCAGGTTTTATAGGCAATATATAAGACAAATATATTGGAATTTGCTGTGGGTAAACAGCGAACAACTGTTGATCAGTCTGGAAATATAAAGGTTAAATGAAGGTTTGTACTTTGAGGAAACTTGCCACAGTGCAGCATAGAAATATGTGGACATGTGCATATATGTGTGTGTATATATATACACATATGCATATGTGCCCAGCAGAAAGATGCAGGTGGAGGAAGGAGGTTTGTTTTCATTTCATGGGCTGTTCTTTGGAATATTTAGTATAACCAGAATTGCACAGAAAAAAAATAAAAATGGATAGGACACATTAACAGTGAAGACCGTTATCACTGTTTTCGTCTTAAGCAAATGACTCTTTCTTAAAAAACTGAGACAAAAAAAGCTAGCATGCAGCTTCACCACAGACAACTGTCATCCTCCTACTACGGGTAGAAGGTGGCCCTAGGGACAGAGAGATTCAGAGCTGTCCTCCTGTGGCATCCTCCTGTAATATTAGGGATGATGGATTCATAAAATGGTTATGACTTGCTGAGCACAGGACTCCAACAGGAAGCTTTATTAATAATAAATTATCATCCCTACCTCTCAATTAAACTGTCTTGTGTGTTCTCCAAACCTTTCCACTGATAACAGTGTATTTCATGACTAATTTAACATTCAGAATTTCTGTAAGTCTTCCTACAACTATACATTTTCTACCCAACAAACATCTGAACATGAAAGGATGGACAGATACATCTTCTCATATTTCACTAGGAGCATCTAGTTTTAATATGCATATCTTCAAAAGACTAAGAAGTTTCTTCACAGATTTTTTTTTTAAATACCAGATAGTTCTGAATGTATTTTGAATCTAGTGCACAGGTAGCATTAACTGATGTGGGCTCATCATTTCAGTGGAGCTGTACTAATCTGCCCCAAATGATGACTTGCTTCAGTTTTTTTCAATTAATTATTTTATGGCTGAGAGGGCTTTAATCAACATGCCTCAGAAGAATATCTTTGTATCTTAGGAGTTCATCAGCAACTACCCTAAACTTTTTCCATTTAAGGTTATCCAACTCCTTTTTTTAGGGCGGGGGGGGCAGCAAACTACTACTACAAGGAGAGAGCAACTGGAAAAGCTGAAATAAACACCAAGTGCAACTAAAACTCTAAAATCCTGTGTGTTTCCCTGCTTATATTCCAGAATCTAAAATAAACAGAAGCCTTGGGGAGAGAGCTTAAAAAGAGAGGAGAAGCTGGGAAACAAAGCATTTCACATGTTGGAGAGCAGCCTTGTTGCAGGGGCGTGACAAGACTTCACTTTTCTTTGGGCACAGTCTTCTTTCAGAAAAATGAGATTGCTTTAGAACAGATGTTTCTGCAACAGTATGGCTGGTTTAATGGTATAACACATACTTCCTGCACGTTATCAGTTTACTAATAAATGTTCTGTAGCTGCTGAACTAAGTCTTCCTCCATGATAGACTAAGCCTGAAAGGAAGCTGACAAGCACTTAACAGCCTTTGATTACTGGCAATTTAACAGGCGTCAATGTCTCCATGACCTCAGTGAAACTGGATGCCACAGAAAATCGTAAAAGAAAGGTATATAAATAGCTTAACTAAATTGATTTTATGGGTTGCACCTCTGTAAGAGAGGATGTCACCTTTGTTTAAGAAAAAAAAATCAGAATTTGTCTGCATTTTTACTGAGAATTTCTACAAGAGACTGAGTGGGACCCTTTTAATCTACTCAGACAGATTGGGGATGGAGCATTTTAGGAAGGCACTACGAGGAGACTTTCAGTGTGGCTGCCACCAGGGGGGTACCCATTTTCTGTTTAAAGAGCATAAATCTTTAATGCTCTTAGCCTAGTGTTTTTCCAGAGTATGCAAGATGTACATTAAAAAAAAAATATGATGATGGATTTATTTGGGGGTTTTAATCCACCAAGCGTGTTACGGAAACCATTTCAAAATCCTTGTAAACAAAGCTTATCAGAAGTATCTTTCTTATAGCTGGTATTAGTATTATAAAGTTCATAAATTCATCTATCTGACCCCCTTCCAAATGTCTCATATATCCTCTTCGAAAGAGCACAAGGGTCCAAGAGTGCTTTTACATAATATTTTGAGGATCTTGCCCTGTCTGAAAGAAACTTTTGTAAGTCCTTTAAAAAATCGGCAAGTATAAAGTAACAAAAACCCCAAGGAAAAATACCTGGCTATTTTGTTTAGTGTACCAAGAGATTTTGCTAAACTTCTTGTTCTGAAACTGTATCCACTGACTGGAAAATTTTAGATGAATAAGTAATATAGTTTAGAAAATATTTAGTGTGCAGTACTTTCTATTTAAGATTTTTACTCTTTTAAAAAAATCTAATTTTAGTGAATCTGTATACTTAAATGTTGACAGAGATTTTTTAACCACATGTAATACATAAATCTGTCCTGAGCTCTCCTGTAATCTTATATTTCATTGTTATAATTCTAAATGCACTGGACTGAAGAAAATCTATGCAGAAGCGGAAAAGAACCTCTAAGAACTAAGACACCCATGTAAAAACAAACTACCAATGAGAAAGTTTTGCTAGAGGTGAGCAGAAAAAATGCATCAGCAGCATTCAAAAAATACATTTGCTATGTGCGGTGGCTTTCTATTCTTCTAGTGTATCATTAATATCAGTGGTACTACTCCAGAGGCAGGACTTCT